GCAACCTTAGCAGCAGGTTGGACAAGTGGGATTCGTCAGGACGATCCTCCGTGGGCTGCTTCACGTGTGTACCCACCAATGGAGGACACGAGCGCAGGGAGGTATTAAAGTCGCCTGCCACGACTAGAGAATCCCGCTTGGGCACCTGCTTGACCACCTTAGACATGACTGATAGTACATGAGCACGGTCGTCCTTGTTAGACTGGATGGACTTGGCCGAGGACCAAGCATGTTGATACACAGCCACAATGACCAGCCTAGTACCTGCCATGTCTGCACGAGCTTCAAGGACCCTGCCTGGACTCCACTCCTTCCAGCGAAGGCTCTTGGCTGTAAACTTGGGTGAGAAGAGAATCATGACGCCATCCGCCCGGGTCGTGGATGGAGCCGCTTTCGGTTCCTGCCTAGTCTTGCGCTTCGCGCCCTGCTTCTGCTGGGTGCTACGTTTGGCAGACTCCGAGGCCGAAGAGATGCAATGCCAACCTGAAACACTGAACTCGCTAGTCTCCGTCCAGTGCGTCTCCTGCAGGATAAGGACGTCGCAGTGGTGGGAGGCTTCAGCTGCCAGCCACGTTTTTAGTTCTCCCCATTGCTGTTGACCTAGGTGCCCCGCGTTCCAAGAGACTACCCGAATGGATCTTTCTAGTCGTCCTGCCCTGCGGGAGGCTGTGCCATGTGCAGGGGAGTCAGCAGTCTGTGACTGAAGCTCTCTTCGAGTCGGTGGGGGCCGCACCCCCAACTGGTTGACTAGGGTCGGTGTCAGAACCTGTCCGCGGTATGGTACGGGTCCGTCACTTCTGATTGTCCGTCTACATGCTGTCTTGAACGAATTCTTGCGAAGAGATGCAAAGTTTTGTGAGTGCACTGGTAGTTGCGCCATCCGCTAATTTCGTCAAGAGACAGAAGCCTAATGACTCCCTCCACTGCGCGGAAGTGGAAACCCTACCGCCTACCCAGTGTTGCAATGTTTTAAACAGAGTCTGGGCCCAGGAATTGGGACCTGGCGGCTCAAAGCAGCTCCTGTGAGAAAAGGGAGAGGACCATGGCGTAGAAGGAGGCACAAACCTTTACTGTTCAGAAAAGGCCCGGTTGGAACCTCTAGCACAGCAGTTGCGCCCCAAGCCTGTTCGAAACCTCTCATTCAGCGCGGCCGCTTGAGCACTTGTGGCGGCTACTCCTACTCCTACTCCTACTCCTACTCCTATTCGTACTCCTACTCCTACTACTCCCACTACTGTTACTCCTACTCCTACTCCTACTACTCCCACTACTCTTACTACTACTACTACTACTACTACTACTACTACTACTACTACTACTCCTGCTACTACCACTACAACTGCTACTACTACTACTACTCCTGCTACTACCACTACAACTGCTACTACTACTACCCCTGCTGCTGCTGCTACTACTACTCGAGTACTAGTACCTAGTACTGTTACTAGTACTACGACTACTACAACTGCTACTTCTGCTTCGCGCGCACAACCGCTCAAGAGCCACCCCCGTAAAAAAGGAAACCGGCAATACTGCTACTGCTACTGCTACTGCTACTGCAACTGCTACTGCTACTACTACTACTACCACTACTACCACTACTACTACTACTACTACGACTACTGCTGCTACTACTACTACTACTACTACTAGTCCTACTAGTAACCAGTACTATTACTACTACTCCTGCTGCTATGACTGCAAGTGCTAACACCACTGCTGTGATGAATGCGGCAAGATTTCAGCAGAAATCAGACTAGGCCGACAACAGAAGCGCGAAAAAGGAAACAGGGTGGGCAACGCTCCAGGCAAGCAGAGAGGACATGAAAAGCACACGAGCAAAAGAGCTGAAAGGCATGAGACCCAAAAGTGAAAACATTGAATTTCGGAGAGGTAGGGGAGGTGTAAAGCGTGGAGGCGCGGAACTGCACAGTGCACAAGCATTAAAGAAGGAAGGCCAACCAAGTTTGTGACTAAATGTGGCACAAAGTCAGACGACTGCCTTCGACAAGGCCAACTCGAGCTTGACCAAGATCCCATCGAAGGCCTGACAGAACCGCATCGGACATGTGGTCGGAGCGGCTCAGACTAACATCGCACATGATCCCTGACTCTGACTGAGCCCAGAACTTCAGCCTCGCCGGCAGCCTGAGCCGATGTGAAAGTCTGGTGCATCTGCGCTTGGGGAGCCACGCTCTGCCATGCTCCGGCAAACTGCCTTGTTCTTGGGCTGCATGGGCGAATGGCCCGAAGCATGCGGACGCTTACAGCGACTGTCCCGCAGAACCCAAGTGCAGGCTGAAGTCTTCACTACCTTGCGCACAGCCAAGGTTGATGCCTGCGCTGCTTGAGAATGAAACCTCTCAGACAGAGCTCTTGTGCTTACCATGATCTGTTGGCCCACATCACATCGAGCAAAGAGGTGTAACATTGCGCGGAACATGTGTAACGAACATGCATCCCAGACGGAATGGCATGGCAAAGGCGACAAAGAATAACTCTCCAGCGATGAAAACTAAGCCCATGTGGAGCGGACACACCCCCAGCACACTTGTCCGTTGTCTGTCTGGTCTCGCGAATGCCTGGCGGCTGTCCCCCTACTTGCTTGCCCCTGCCTTCCACAAAACCCAACTCCAAACAGCAAACCTGCAAGGTGCCAGAGTCGCAACTGCTTTTCTCAGATGCACACGCAGCGGTGCTAGGTGCTCCTGGTCGGAGACGTGCATTCCGTTTATCGCGTGGCCACATGGAGCAGTGCACATGTTGCACTTGCTGAAGGTCTTCTTCATGTTTGCGGCGCCCATGTTCTTCGCTTCCACTTCTGCGAGATTTCCGACAGAATGCAAGAGACTGTCCCTTCCGAGGTATGCCATTTGCCATCACGCACCAGCTCGATGTGCTATGCTTCGCTAGAAGTCGTCCTCCTCACCGGCAAAAGACAGCCGAGGTCGCCGAACACCACCCGATGGCTTGCTTTCGTGATCTTCGCCTGCGCCTTCCCCTTGCAAGCGCTTCCGCTTGGCATCCAATCTCGACAGTCTTGCAAGGCGCTCCGCTTCCACTCGAGCTCGCTCTGCCTCTTGCTCGGCTTCACCACCTTCATCTTCGCTGGGCCGACTTGGCCTCATATGGTGTCTGACTTAGCCTGACCGACCAACCGCCAGCTGCCAACTTTCTGCCAAGGCTCTGCCTGTCCCTCAGATCCCACTGCCCGCGTCCCGCAGCCAACCTGACATATGCAGGCGACCTCGTGGATTCTTGCCAGGCAAGCCCGCAAAACAAGGAGCACCTGCCTGGCATCTTGTGCGAGGCGTTGGTGCCTCGTCCGCACAGACTCCGCCGTCGGAGCACCAGATTCCTTGAGGCGTAGAGGACGCTTTACAGCTTCTTTCTTCAAGTTGTCTTCGTCAGGCCTTGCGACCTCCAAGTGCTGTAGATAACGATGTTTGGCTTTGTTCAGTGCCTGGAAGTCCTGTCAACTGCACGTTACGTACATGGTCCCGTTAAACTGTTAGTAGCTAGCGTGGAGACAAGGTACCTACAGAGGCGCCAAGCAGTAAGAGCCGACCGCAGTTTAAACAACCTACAACGAGAGCGATACATTGGCACTGGTGGCTCCAGAGTCGGGATATCGATTCGGGGCGAAGCGCGATTCTCTCCTCACGGCCATTTGCGGTATTTGCGCGTGAGTACCAACAAGCGGAAAAATTCACCCGGAGCACATGATTGAATACATGGCCAGCCAGAAGACAACTGCCGGCCCGCTCTGCCGGCAGCTGCCGGCTGCTGCACGGGTCACGGCTAGATTGATGCATCGATATGGGCACACACACACACAACCCGATACAAAAAAAAATCGATAGACGCATAAACTGCTTTTGCAGTTGCATATAATGTTCTTGTAGTCCGCGAGGCTGCGAAGTCAAGTAGCAGAAGGACGTTTTGCATGGTAGTTACATGCATAATTACGCAAAACATACACGAAGCAGGATACATAACCTGATCACAATCTTGAGAATTCTGCACAATGAATGAGTCATGAACTCGAATCTTTGCAGCTGGGCTGCATCGCGCGAATCGCCCAAACGTGCCCGCGCAGCAGCAAAGAACGAAGATCCGAGTTGAGCAAAAGCCGCTACGCTGGCATCGTCGACTAATTGCTTCTTCAACCTTGCGCAGGCATATTCCATGTTCAACACAAGAAGGGAAGCAGAAATAGTCTCCTTCCAGACTGTGCTAGGCGAGGCACAATGATCTCATTTTCCGCTCGCTGACACCGTTGGCCTGATCCTCTCCGGGCTTCGACTCATTCTCTTCGAACTCCTCTACGTCAGCCATGGCGACGCGACAATCAACAGCAGGCCTGATAAAGTCCCGATCTCGTGAGATGCACATGCTGGTGGCGGGGTGAGTCACTCGATGCTCTTAACAGCTTAACAGATACTCAAACCCGCCCAGCTCAAAGGCCCATCAGACAGTGAGCAAGAATTGCTGCCTGTGGGCCGCAAAAGCACGGACATCTGACTGCTTGTCTGGATTCTCAATTTCAATTTCGAGGCATCACATCCTTCCATGCCTGTCCATTGGATGATTAGCTGGTCCCGCTGTAGGCATGCCAGATCCTACCAGCAAGCGTGTCGTGGAACCTGGGGGAAGGCGCATCAGCAAATTCCCAAAAGCATGTCAGTGAACGGCCCCTCAAGATATATCATTTCCCGAAGTTTCTGGATTTAGTGGACTTGCAGGGCTTGCTACCTTGGGCTTCCCTGTGCACAAGACGAAGGCTTCCTACTGACCCATTTTTCCGAAGCGTGCAAATCAGCAGACACACGCCACGCATGCTTGGTGCATGCTTGGTGCAGGTGCAGCCATGGCCTTCGGCCGATGATTCAGCGAACTGCGAACCCTAGGCGAGCTGTTCCAAATTAAGATTTCCTTGCCGTTACTTTCCTCACGCTGCAAAAAACACGCTCTACATACTCTACTTCACGATGCATTTC